ACGCTTAACTAAATTTGATACCACAGTTTCTGTATATTTCTACACTTCGTCAAAAAATTGCTTTCATACGACAGTGTAGAAGATATTTTAATTGATTTTCGAATTCGATTAAGATGTCTTAAGCCACTTGAGAAGTCCCTTAAGCAAGGACGAAACCGGTCGTGGTACGCTCAACTAAATTTGATACCACAGTTTCTGTATATTTCTACACTTTGTCAAAAAATTGCTTTCATACAACAGTGTAGAAGATATTTTAATTGATTTTCGAAATCGATTAAGATGTCTTAAGCCACTTGAGAAGTCCCTTAAGCAAGGACGAAACCGGTCGTGGTACGCTCAACAGTATATGATCAATACTTAGGATTAATTCTTATATTTTAATTCTATAGTATTGTTTGCCATCTGTTGAGTCCCTTAAGCAAGGACGAAACACGTGTCATGGCTGCTTATCACACCCACACCCACACCCACACCCACACCCACACCCACACCCACACCCACACCCACACCCACACCCACACCCCACACCCAGACCCAGACCCAGACCCACACCCACACCCTGTTTCTTCTATTTCATACCTTCACAAAAAGTAGTTTATTCTAAAACTTTTTGGAATTTTCTACTATCACGTACCATGTGTGCATTATGTTACTTCTTGATATTTAATCACATATTGATATGAAAGTTTTTTCTTCTTATCATTATCGATGTTGCCATCAAAGTAGATTGTTAGTTATAAAGATAAAAAAAAATGTGGGTGTGGGTACGGGGTGTGAATGTACTGTGTCTCTTCATCTGCAATCACACCCACACTCACACCCACCCACACCCACACCCATACCCACACCCACACCCACCCCCACCCAGACTCACAAACATAGTTGAAGACTCTATGTCGTAGCAAAGTTGATTTACACAGGCGCGCTTCTGTAAGTTTTCTCCTGTTCTGCCTTTTTCTCCTCTGACAAATATAGAAATTCTGATGCAGGGCAAAACACTTCATGGAATGAAACTCAAACAAACCGAGTATGTGAGAGGTAGAGAAACAGTTTATAATTCTCTCTTCAAGCGAAGTTGAGTTGCGAAGGTGTGTCTTTGTGAATTTTCTCTCAGCTTTGTTTTCTCTCTATGAGAAAAAAAACAGATTCCGTTGCAAAGCAAAATAATATAAAGATGGAAAGGAAGCAACAACACCTTCATATTCGATTTCATTTTTTCATTGACAGGTAAGCTTTTCTAGGCGAATGACTGCTGTCAAACTGTCCATGGTTCTCGCATACTCTCCGTTCGTAGTTTTTGCGAAACCCGATTGATAATAAGCGTTGAATTCTATAGGAAGAAAAGTGAACTTCCCACTGAGCATGTGGTAACTCAATTCAGATCATTATGAACTCGACAAAACTGTCACATGCCTACGTCCCACTCAATAGACCATGATAGACAGACAGAATAGATGAAGCTTTGAAGCGTCACAATAAACCAGCTGGCTCAGCATCTGCTGAAAGAAAGGGACAAGTCCAACGTGTTTGAAAATTTAATCCCACAGGAATTACATTGCAAACTTTTCTATCAGTAATTTTTTTCTGTCTCTCATAATAACACGAATCCTGATGAAGAGAAAAATGGTACTGTTTGAGAAAATTACACTCGCTGTCACTAGTATTCATCTCGGCATAAAGCTTCATTCAAGCAAATAGTGTGTCGTTGTTTTGAATGTAAAACGAATCTTTTCTAGTGATCAATAATTTTGGACGCAAAAGCTTCGCTGAAATCACTCTTGAGAATTGAAGGTTGTTCAAAATCGGATAAGAGGTAAGTCCTCTTCTTTCGGTCATTACTTACAGGATGATCCACAAGTCTTAGTCGTTCTTGGGAAAACTGCTCGTTCTGCGTTACCACAAATCTAAAAATGCTCAAAAATGAAGGTCTAATCCCTTGTAACTAGACGAATATTACCCTAAGCTTTCAGGTCTCTAGTCCTTATTATAGGGAGAAATATAGGTTCGTATGTGTGCCGATAGGCACACCATTCTTATATTATATTACTCTTACGTGATATTACGCTTAAGTGATATCATTCTTACATGATATCCTTTATATGGGAAATCCCCGCTATTATATTGCATATGTATCTTCTTATCCTTCCCCTTTATTATATCAGCGTTCTCTCCGTTCTCTTTCTTTTTGTTCTCTATATAATGTAACGCTCTATGTGAAATTGAACAGAACTGGAGTAATGGAGTAGTGTCGTGAATATTGTATACCGAGGATAGCGGTAACGCTACTCCCCCAGTTTCTCCTTGTTGATCAACAACAAAATATATACTGCAGTAGCAACGAAATAGTTTATCCTTCATTAGGGGTGGACCATTTTATTTAATGGGCCTTAATGAATGTCATTAATTAATGGCTTCACTTAACCATTAATATTAATATTAATGATTTTCATTAATATTAATGGTTAATGTTTTCCTATGAAAACTTAATTCATTAATATTAATGGTTAATGAAAAAATCAACATTAATTCAATATTAATATAAATGGTCCACCCCTATCCTTCAGCATTAAAATTCGTTACAGTATGATCGAAAAAATTTTTTTTCATGTCACAAAATGTCAAGAAATTTTATTGACAAGAAATGTCGAGAATAATTAATTTTCCCTAGTAATACAATTACCAACAACAGAATATTTTACTTTTTCATAAAATATTACAGTCTTTTTTGTTGACAGAATAGCCTTCTTATATTGTTTGAGGTGATGGATGTGGGTGTGAGGATGTAGGTGTCTCTGTGGTGTGGGTGAAGAGAGGACACACCGACACTGACACCCACACACGCACCTACACCCCACACCCATACCCTCCCATTTTTAACCCATATTGTCTAATGAAAATGACTAGGATTAATAATCGATAAAGGTAAATATTTGACTATTAAGATAATGTGACTGAGAATTTCATGAGAAGGCATAAACGTAACATCATGACAAGCCGAAATATAGCTACGGCTGAGAGCGAATATCTTTTTTCCACATATGATTGCATCTACGTGCCCAAAGAACTGCGAGCTACCGAACTATAATACTTCAGTATAGTCAAACGAGGATTTTGGAAGCACAACATCAAGTAAAATCTAGGACAACAACCTTATATACAGGGTGCGTAAGAATGTTTTTCCATGGGGGTAACACTGTAATTTCAAACAGCATACATAACTAATTTTATACCAAATTAAAGCGCCTCGAAAATGGAGTTTTTTCATCCTAAATTGTAAGAGTTATCAAAACTTTTTGATGTCGAACTTAAGAAATTTTACATTTTTTTTTGGGATAGAAAACTAAGACGTCAATGATTCAAAAATGGATTTTAGTATTTTCTTTTGATATTTTTACATGGTTCGATAGAGCTTGTCGAGCTCTACAAAACTGTATATATTAAAAAATTTTTAAGCTAGTTTTCTAAGATAAAAAAATCAAAAAACCACTTGGAAAATGCTAAAAAAATGTTAAAAAACTCATTTTTTTTCATTTCAGAGAAAAATACTCGATTTTTCAATAAAAATAGCTTTTGTAGAACTCACGTATGTTTTCGAAGAAAATAGTGAGTGTAAGTTTCCAGTCCGAGGTTTGGCGACTACCCCCTCCCCCCATCCCATTACAGACAGGGGAGCATTACAGACATCCCTCCACTACAGACATACTCCCATTACAGACAGGTCACCATTACAGACCCCAGCAATTGTGCATAAGACGCTTTAGATTCTATATAATATATCAATGCTTTCATAAATATTCGGAAAAAAGCTATTTTGCAGTTTAAAAATCAGGCATCAGGATAACAAGTTTAAAGGATATACGTGAGTTCCACATTTCAGCTCCCTTGGAGCTGCGCAGATAAGCTTTTTTTCATTATTTTCACTAATAGAGACGTTTCAAAATGTAATCAATAGACGCAGTCGTTCACGCTGTATATGGTGGTTACATTTTGAAACGTCTCTGTTAGTGAAAATAATGAAAAAAAGCTATTTTTATAGAAAAATCGAGTATTTTTCTCTCAAATGAAAAAGAATGAGTTTTTTAACATTTTTTTAGTATTTTCCAAGTGGTTTTTTGATTTTTTTTTTCTTAGAGAAATAGTATGGAATATAAAACATAATATATACAGTTTTGTAGAGCTCGACAAGCTGGGTGTAGGTGTGGCTAGGGTGGGTG